AATTGAAATTTAAAAACTTATCATCTACCCTCGCTGCTGTGCCTGTTGCATGTTCCTGCTGTGCCTATTGATGTTGTTGTTGCGCATGGGCAGCTGCCCCAAGTCAGAGTTCGCCTTTCGCTTCTTGGTTGGCCTCTTGGCAGGTCGAAGGGAATTTTTCGCAATTCGAATTCAAATTCGAAGGAATTCCCCAGCACATGTGCTTGTGCTCCTCCTTGCTGCTGTTTTGTGTACAAATGTATTAGCAACAAAAATGATTTAATAGATTCCACGAAGAGGCCGGCTCCTTCTCCCCAGCCTCCTTGGCATTCTTGGCTGCTGTTTGTGTTGACATTTGCCAAGGCGGCATTCAGGGCTTATTAAAAATGTATCTGACAGCGCCATGAAGCATGTAGCCATCCGAAGGATAGCGAGGGGAATCTGAATGCGAATGGGGGAGGGGGAGGGTCCTAGTCGCCCTGGCCCCTGATCCAATTAACTGCTTACACAAAACTCAAATGGCCAGACAAATAGAGACGAGAGGGAGGTGGAGAAAGAGTCCTGCAGCCGGGCAGGACATGTGTAGAGACCCGACTCCAACTCACCTGCCAAGTAATAACAGTTGAAATCAACGCACAGCATTCGTCCTGACATCCTGGCTGGCCCTTGGCCATTTCCAAGCTACCTTTTTCTACCTTTTTGCTACCTTTTTAAAGAAGCTGCTGTCCAGTCTCTATGTTATACAAAACCCCTCCTAGTTGTATATATTTTTGTCAGAAAAGTTTTATAAAATCTACATACATCCTGGGCAGAGCATTTGCTAGTCGCTGGCAGGACACAGCTGCTGATCCTGCCTCAAAGCTGCTGACTTAACGTTGCCGTTTTGCTTTGCTTTGTTTTGTTTTGGCTTTTGAGCTGCTCTGTTGTGTGTGTCCTGGCTGTTGCCTTTTGCTTTTGACGTTCGGGGTTGCATGTGTAGCGTTATGTGCATAAAAAATAATCATAATCACTTGAAAGCCAGGCCAGAGAACGAAGCGAAAGCGAAACCCAAACCCAAACCCAAACCCCACTCAAACTCCAGAGAAAAGGGCTCTGTTTTGCCTGCCGGCGTTTTGAGCACTCAGAAAACATAAACCCAGCCATGGAATCAAGCATTTTCCAAGTGATTTTCACTTTCCCGGGGCTTATTAAAAATATGGCTAAATGAATTTGATGGAATTTAACATTAAAGGACGAAGAGCAGGGCCAGGAAGTGTGACTCGCGTGTGCTGGCCAGTAAATCAGAGCGAATGGCAATGACAGCCTCGTCACAGACAGCCGGCCATCATAACGAATGGCCCGACAAACCAATCTCCCATCAAAAAAAACCCCATCAGCAGATCCTGAAAACCGCCCTACACCACCTGGGGATTTCATATCCTTTCTTTTTCTGTTCCAGGAAGTCAAAGGTATATAGTTTTAGTCAGAAAATAAATTATAAAAAGCATAGCTATTCAAATTAAATGCGAAAATTGATATTTTAAGCCAATTTCTGGTTTTGTTATTTGTAGTAAATTAAAACCAAAATGAACAGGGTATCCCCTAGTCGTAGCACTTGTTCTAGCTGCTTTTTTTCACAGCCTGAAGTGCGCATTTGACAAGCCCGGTAAACAACAATTAAAATGACAACAGAGGAGCTGGGCTAGGCGAAGGGATTTTTGCACGTTTCCCTTTCGCTCAGTTAGGGGGAATATGTTGAAGGGAAAATCAGAAAACTCTCCCCTGAAATGTAACTGATAAAAACTGACACAAGGATGCTGTGCGAAATTATAGCCCCAGGACCTTAGCATTCCCACACACAAAGCAGCGAAATCGCAGCCAAACAATGCCCGTGCTCCATGGCTCCAGTTTTCAGGACAAATAACTTGAGGACATGCCAATGCAATTTCGAATCAATGTCCAGGGCCAGCCAATGAAGACGCAACCAGGACGAGCGACAGCAGAAAAGAAAAAATATAAACAGAAAAGGAAACTCGACGGAAAACTGATGGGAAAATGCAGCAAAAAAAAAAGAAGAGCAAGGGAAATGAATACATTTTTTTGGAAGGAACTAAAGAACAGGCAGGACTCTGGGAGCTCTAAATTCTGTTAGCTTTGAGATTTGTGGAAAATATTTATAAGGTCTTGAAAATGCTTAAAAATTAACTTCAGGGTTGGCTAGAAAGAAGCTTGTGCATAAATAAATTCATAAATAAAGCTCTAAACTCATGAAGTTTAATCTTATTTTCATTAAACAAGCTACTAATTAGATATTTCTGGTATAAATATCGCTCTCCCTAGTCGCCGCTAGATGACACATAACCATCAAGTAGTGTAGCCCCTCCTCCCTTTGATTTTTGTTGGACAAATTGGCCGGCTAATTTGCGCGGCATTTGCCTAAGCCCCGGAACATTTATCACGGCTCTTAAAGCATTCTAGACCTGGCAGGGGCGGGTGGAGGAAGCCGCAAGAGTGAAACTATTTTCGGTGCGGCAACAACGCGGCGTATGAGTAATGTCTTGATTTGCCAAACGTTTTAACGGATTTAAATTTATTTATTGCGTCGCCTGCCGACGTTAATTTTAGCCTCTCTCGCCTCTTGTTTGTTTGTTTTCGTTCCCATTCAGTTTCACTTTTTTTGGATGCTGCTATAAGGAATGTCGATCCCAAACCGAATCGAAGGTGTTGACGGAAGTGTGATGGAGAGTGTTCGCTGGCCTTATGATTGAAGAGTTATGTCTGGGTCAAAGTTGGAGCCTTCCCGGCTCATTAGGAATATATGTATGTAGGATGGGGAGATATAGATGTATATCTTTCGACTATAAATCCATGAAATTTATGCTTCGAGTTGGGAGTTTGGCGATTTATGTTGAAAGAATATGGATGGCTTCCGGTGCTGTGTGTGTGTGGAAATCGATGGCATTGCATCTTGGGCATTAATCACAATATTCTTTTGGTTGCTATGGATTTATATATATATGTATATAAAGGATAAAATCGGAAGAGTATTTAGTGGTCCTTGTTCTTAATTTATAGATATTAAATATCTTGGGTCCTTGGGTTTCCTTCGCTACCTTCAAAGAGAGACTTATTTCTACACATTTTCTTGTATGAAAATATTTAAATATCTCCTTTATCTCCTTTATCCTGACAAGAACCTTCCCTGCTAATTGCCGCCAGAATTACTTTACACTTCGATAAGAGATATTATCGCATTGCAATGCCAATGCAATCTGCACGCATATGGTGGCTTTTCCTCATTTTCCTGCATCCGTTCTTTTCGCGCGGCACCATGGACATTTTTCCGATTTTCCTGTTTTCCGATTTCCCATTTCCCTTTCATTGGCGGTCAGTAATTGCCGGCTGGCCGTGTTGTTTTTGTTTTTTGTTTGAGGTCACATTGAACGTCAAAAGCGGCGATGGCAGCGTTAATTTCGTTTGCCCATAAACATGCAACATATGCGCGAGTCCTGTGCGAGAGTCCTGGAAGGGGGTTGCAACCCTAATAAACCCACATGGGAGGGAGGCGGTTGTCCTGCCACACGTGCCTGCCTTTGATAAGAGCGTCCTGCCCTCGTCCTTTGTGCCAGGCAGGGTGTGTGTGTGTGCGAATGTGTGTGCGCGCCGTGCTGGTGTGACTGTGATTTATGCACTAAACAATGCCAAAGGTCCTGCGACTGCAAGTCCTGCGCCCCCGCAGGACCTATGGAAAAAAAAATACAAGCATAGAAACTGCAATGTTATGGCACGTGATGACCACGAAGGACACTTTCATCAAGTGCCTGGAGCACAGGCAGCGCCACATTGAGTGATGCCCACAGGGGAAGAGTCGAAATTTCCATATAATTTAAGCTTCACAATGGGAAATATTTATATAAATATATATTTGTGATATTTATTTTCTTATTTGTGATGTATATTAAGTGAAGAACTCAAGGAAACTCCAGCAGGAGCAGGCTATTTATGTTTATAATTATTTCAACAACATTTCGATGCCCTTTCAGGCACTCCTCCTCCTCTCAACCCTCATATTTTTTGGCATTTTCCAAAGATAAGTGCAAAGGACCTTCCCTGCTCTTACTCTCTCTCTGCTCGCTCTTGTTGAAAATGCTTATCAAATTAATTTCGCTTAAATTCGCGCTTATTGTTGTTGAAGCCCAGCGAGTTTTAGAGGGTTAATTGCGAGGGTTTATCCTGGCGCTGATTCGAGGGTTGGCCCCGGTATTTGTCGATCGATTGTGAAAACGGTCTCACTTACCCCCCAACCCAAAACCTATACACGTGTCCATTGAGTTGTTCAATTATGGCTAAGCCAAATCCGCAGTCTAAACAGTCTTCGAGGTCGTCGCAGGACTCCTTATCCTGCACCCAAAAAAAAAAAGAGCAAGCCGATGACGTTAAGACGAAAGCCAAACACACGCGACAGCCGAGTCGAAATTGAATTCAGATAGAGTTGTTGTCCCGGAATCCGCCACCCTGCCAGCATCCTTACAACTTCTTTATTTTAACTTTGCGCCCCGATATGTTTGCTCAACAGATTGGGCCAGCAGCAGGCGAGTCCTTGGGGGTTACTCTGCCTGCCAGGGAAATTTCCCTTTATTGGCCCTGTTTTTTCCTTGGCCTCAGAGGGGGAGTGCAAGCCTGACTCTGGAGTCCAGGTAGCAATGATTGACACATGGCTGAGGTCCAGGTAAGGCCCTCTGTGTTCAGGTAGAGTCCTCTCAAAAACTAAAGCCTGGCTGGAAAACTCATTTACACGCCTCAAAATCCCCAAATGGAATCAATCTGCTCGAGTGTTGACTTAGCTTAAGAGTTCTTTCCAAGGATTTTTGCAAGGATAAGGTTTGAGCAAGAGAATGCCTACATAATCCCTTTTAAATATCAAGATAAAAGATCAAAGGAATGCCTTTTCTATATATTTAAGCCTATATTCTTTATATAGAAAATATCTAAAGTTTATAAATAAATAAAATCAAATTATAAATCTTGGACTCTGGACTCACCCTTGCACTGGTTGGTCTCCCGCGCCGTGGCCCTGGCCCAGGGCCTATCGAAATGGAAGAGCTTGCACCGCTCACAGTCCCTGCCCGCCGTATTGTGGCTGCACTCACAGCTCAGCTGCCCGTTGGCGTCCGGCGAGCACTTGGAGGCGTGGCCATTACACTTGCACCTTCCGCCCACCGTGAAGTCAGACACGGCATAGTGGAGTCCACCGCCTGGTCCTATGGCTGCCGCCTCTCCTGCCTCCGCTCCAGGATTCAGCTCAATGTTGTTGTTACTCGCCGGTCCATGGGCCAGCGGCAGGCTGTACTTGCCGCCGGTGAGCAGCTCGGCGGCCGAGGCTGCCCCCATCTCGGCCAGCGGCAGATGGAGGCGATGGAACACTATCCGTATATCGGTGGCCGTCACAAAGTCCTGCAGCACCGGCGAGGAGTCAAGATCGCGGGCCGAGGGCCGTCCGTCCAATGTGCTGAAGGCAATCCTCGAGGGCAGAGCCTCGCCGGGGGCGTGGCGCGTGAGGTCCGTGCAGCGGGCCTCGTGCTCGTTGTGCCTGCTGACAGTCTGGCGGGCGGGGCGACCAAAGTAGCGCCTGCACTGGGAGCTGTAGAACTGGAATGGCTGCCAGTTGACGCCGTAGTCGGAGCTCTTGTAGATCACCATGGAGTCCGGGCGGGGCGCGTGCGGGCAGAGCTGCAGGGTCACGTAGGTCAGCTCGAACTTCTTGCCCAGCGAGAGGGTGAGGGTGACGTTGTCCCCGTTTCCGCCTCCTCCCCCGCCGATGGTGTTGCCGCCGGACACGGGAGCGGAGCGCCAGCAGGTCACGTTGTTCGAGTTGTTCAGATCGGTGAGGGCGCGGGCCGGGAAGCTGCGCAGCGGATTGGAGAGGTCACAGGTGTGGCAGGCCATGTCCCGCTCCCGCTCCTGGAACTCGCAGTACCGCTGTGGGCCCTCCGCCCCGCAGGTGCTGCTGGCGGCCACCGGGGCATCGTAGGCGGCGTTCACAAAGTCCGGGACGCAGGCACGAGGCTCCCCGGCCTTGTCGTAGCAAAGATCGTCATTGGGAATGGCCCGGGCGAGGGCCAGGAGCACCAGGCCACAGATCAGGGCAAAGTGGTGGGGCATCCTGCGAACGTGAGGGATCACTGGATAATCACTGCCGCTTTTCAGTCACTGAAAAAATGAAACACTATATTTTAATTCATTTAATTAAGAGCTTTTAATTCGTTTTTACTTAGGGAATAACATTTTTGATTATTTGAAATTCAAGGAAATTATAAAATTATAATTGTAGTATTATAATTTATATATTATCAGTAAAATAATCACTACAAAACGCTGAAAAAAATATAAACTTAAATTTGTAATATTTTTATATCTGATTTGTTTGACTTTTGATTTAAAGCTTTGACATTTCCAAGTAATTCACAAGAAATTCGCTAAGATTCTTTGGAAAATTATGTAAATTATATATTATGTTGTATTTAAAAACATTTTTTGTTGCCGCTTAATAGTAGCTGTTTTTGTAAAGAATTTTGTATTAACATTACCTTAAAAAACATTAAATTTCTTTGAACAAAAAATGAAACTTTCTTTACCTTTTTCACTGGGTTTTCTATTGTTTCAATCACTGCCAGAAGTTTTGATGTTTTTTATAATTTTTCACTCGAAACACGGATTGTTTTTAAGGCCAACAAAGTCACGAGTACCACCGAAAGTCGTTGTTTATTTGCTGATAACTTGTGAACAGTTTAAACCTTTTCTTTCACACAGGAAACCAACTCGAAAAAAAAGGAGTAGCGAAATCCGGCTCCGGCGCTTCGGTAGCCGTATGCGCAGGCGTTTTAAGTCGCTCGCTTCGGGTCGCGTCGGGGCGTTTTAAATCGCGTGCGAGTCGTCGATTCGGCTGTCCAAAGGCGACTGTTCGGCGCTCGTTCGTTGCTGTTCTGCACGTGCGTGGTTGTTCGGTGTGTGTGTGTGTGTGTGTGCCTGCATCTGTGTTGCGATCGTTGTCAGCAGCATGTTGCTAACCCGAGAGTGGGAGTGGGATGCTGCTGCAGCAGCACTTGTACTGTCAGAGAGAGCGCAACAGAAACCGTAAGATGAGAGAGAGAGCTCTTGACGAGTTGCGCAGTCGCTGGCAACATTTGTTGCTGCTGCCAGGCAACTTTGTTGCTGGTTGGATCGAAGAATGTTGCCAAGCCTCTTGATTTCCGAATAATACATTGTTTATGTTTTTTCCGAGGTGGATCGTGGGTCGTAATTTATTTACCGGTGCCTTGTGGAGCTTCTTTGTAATTACTAATATTTAGGTATAGTTTCCTTATAATTTGAAACTAATATATAAAATAAATAGCACTTTTCGAACTTGGGTTAAACAAAAAAGTTTGTAGGACAATGTTTTATTATTAAATGTTTAGATGAATAAAAAGAAAACACAACACTCCGTGGGGAGAGGGAGAGCCACATTTCGTAAGGGCTGCTAGTGGGATCACACTGCCTCTGGAAAATAAGCGCGCACCAGAGAAAGTTTTAATTATAATTATTTATATAAAAAAGAGGAATTGCTGATATCACGATGGCTTCTATCTTGACTGTCATTCGATTAAAAGACCCATAAAAAAGGTGACTCAGATGGTAGACAAAAAAGTGAAGAGCACAGAATGCAAGACGTGCAACTTTTAGCGGCCACTTCCCCGTCCCCGTTAACCTGGTCAGCATAAACCCACCTGGTTCGTACTTCTTGTAACTGCGTTTTATGCGAACCCATCTCATAAATTCCACAATTCCAATTCCTGGTAAAATAATGTATTGCCTCAATTCGACTGTAAATCTTGGGGATTTTGGTAAGACATTAGAGTAAGAGCACAATTTGCTTGGTTTTAATTATTAATTAAATAAATACGCCCATCTGTAGTACACCCCTTCCCGAAACCAACTTGCTACTTATTTAGTGCTCCATAAATACGAGCAAGCTCACTCCGTAAATTCCACAAGTTTATGGCTTCTGCGGATGATGTAATTAGCTTTATATATTCCGGAATCAGCAAACTATACCTTATGCCCGCCCAGTCTATAAATTCCGGTAGCTAAAAGCTGTACTTTTGCTGAACTTTGATTGGAAGCGAATATCATTTCTGGGGCTAATCGAATTAAATGGATTTCAAGCCCAAGATATCGGTTGTATAGTACTTAAACTGTGGGACAAGGTCTTCGTTATGCCGGGGCGTTCCTTCTTTTTTTTTTTGTTGCTTCTTCATCGGAGTCCCCTTTCTCATTCCGCTTCTATGCTTCTCTCCACGCTCTCAGTGTGTGTGTGTGTGTTTGGCTTCGATGGCTATCGGTATAATGAAGACGGCCGCTCGTCTTGGCCCGGTTCGGAGTCCCACTCCCAATCCCCAGCTCCGCCTTAAAACCAACTCTCGTTCTGGCGTTGGCCAAGTTATTAAGTTGTCGTTAATGAAAATCATCAATTTTCGAAGAGGGGCGCGTAATTACGACGAGTGGTTGGCGATGCCCCAAGCCCGATGCCCGATGGCTTCATTAAAGCCCGGCCATAGCTCCCGCCCCCACAGCCCCTCCGGGCAGAGGCGCCTACTCCAGCATTTTCTGCATTCTCTGCCTCTGCCTGCACCTTGCTGATAAGAGTTTCACTTTCAGCTCTGTGGTTCCACGCGATTTGTTTGTTTTGGCTTTTGGAGGCGCATATAATTAGCTGTGGGGGGCAGGGGAGGGGGTGGAAGAGTGGAAAGGTGCTGGGAGTGGGTCATGTGTGTGGTTAATGGTCGAAACCACATTTGAATCTGGCTTGATGGTTTGTTTTCTCACGAGCTATAGTTTCTGAGGGCATTTTCTAAGCTATTACCGATAATCAAGCGTAAATATAGATTAATTTATACATTTAAATAAATATTTTATAATATAAAAAAAATACAAAAATTATATGTCACTTATTTAAAAATAATTTAAGGATATAGAGGCATTTTCCTGATTAATAATGTCAACAACTTATTGATAAGCTATGTATTATAAACTAAAAACTCTTTAAAATTTATTTAAAATCTTGGTAATTCCAATTTTATTTTCCGCTTTGATTAATATCTCAAAATTATTTATATCGATCTGAGTAATTAACTTTAATTGAAGCCAGTGATTAGATGTCTGCCCACTTGGCAGCCTCCTTTGGTGTGGTTGACTGTACAAATATGCCGCCCACCCACACACACACACACACACATCCGAGGAAAGACAGCTGGCCGGCTCATTTCCGCTTCCTTTGTTGATGCGGCTTCCACTTCCGCTCCGCTTACATCTCCATCTCCATCTCCACTACCATGTCCATATATCCACTTCCAGCTCCGCCCAAAGCTGCTTCTGGTCGTGCGGCTTATCGGCTCCTTGCCGGGATTGGCCTGGGCCTGGATGCAGGGCTTGGAAGCAGGAGGGATCAGAACTTTTGCTTTATTACCTTGGCAGTAGGCGTGGCAGCAACAGCCGCAAAGCCCACGACCGCAACAAGAGGATGAGGTGAGTATGTGTGCGGGCATGCACTCTAAGAAAAAATTATATACAAACTATAAATAGTAATTAAGGAGAAGCTTAAGAAGAAGAGCAAGTAAAGCGGGCAATAAAAAGAGAATTAATATTTAAAAAATGAATGAAAACTAACTTCGGGTAGCCGAAATTTGTATACCCTTGCAGTTTAAACATAAATAATAAATATAAATAAATAAAAATAAATATTAATAGATATAAATAAATATAAATAAGTAATTATAAATATAAATAAATCCCTAAAGCTCCTTAGTATCGGCTTAGTGTTCCTTTGTGTTTGTTTGTTTTCCCTGGGTGTGTGTGTGTGCTGCATTTGTGTGTGTGTGTGTGTGTGTGGGCGGCCAGACAGTGCCAAACTTTGGCTTAATATTGGCAAGTGCGTAATGAAAATTGCATTGTCGTTTTCGGTAGATGGGCTGGGATCGAAGTCCGGCCAGTCCTTTTGTCATTTGTGCTCCCAAATGGGCTCTGTCTGTCTGTCTGTCTCTTTGTTTGTTTGCTTGCCTGTTTGTTGGTTCGCCAGGCTGCCCGGCGGCAAGATTTTTAGATTATGACGGCTCTGAATCCTCTCTAGCAGGCTCAGCTCATGGGCCTCGCCACCAGCTCCAGCTGAAAATGAGTGCATCAGGCAAAAAATCAGGTTAATTTTAGCTTTTACATACATAATTCCAACTGTTTTAAGCCCTAAAAAATATATTTCTGGCTACAGAAAGATGTCTAGAATTTAAATATATTTTTTAATACTTTTGTTTTTTATTAAAAAAAAAGTCTATTTCTCCCAGTGTCTGCATTTGTTTGTCGCATTTATTTGTGTTTTGGACACTCTTTCACTTTATTGGCGACATCAATGACCGGCCAGTCCTGCTCCTCATCGAGGATTTGGGGGTTCACACGCCTGCAACCCGTTGGCTTGCCCCGCTCCCCACCTCCTTCCCCTTTGGACCTTTGTGGTCGCTTTTTCGGCCAGTGTTTATCTTGGCGCTTTGTTTGTCTTTTGCCGTAGTTGTATCTTGATTTTATTGCCCGAGCTGCAAACATGCAAAGGCACAACCCGCACAGCTCCACAAAAAAAAAAAAGATATAGAAGGGGGCGGGTCCCGGTCAGGGGGGCGGTGCAGCTAAAACGCACAGATAGATGACTAGATTCCTATCAGCGTCAATAAATAAAGTTTTTAAATGGAACAAGAAAATAAATATGTGTCTCCCTGTGTCTCCTTGTTGTCACCGAGCTGCTGCAGGACGGGGCGAGGACGAGGACAGTGGGCCAAAGGTGATTAAGAGGCCAGAAAAATACGGAAAAACATGTACCAAAGAAAACCCAGGGCATCTAATAGGATTAGGTTTAAAAATTATTAGCACATATCATTGTGGAGGCACTCTTGGGTTGCCATGTTATAATAAATATTGTTTTACCTTAGGATTCTCAAGTGGAAATATGATAAATGATTTTCTAATACCTGATAGTGTTTTGGAAATATTAATATACTATAAAGAAATACATCATTTGAGACGGAAATATAATTTCCAGGCATTAATTAGCATTTTATATGCTAAGATATAATTTTATATAAAAATATAATTTCCAGGCATTAATTTAATATTACAAGGCATAACTTCATTCAGAATTGTAAGTCACAGGCATAAATTACCTATTATTTGTTTTGAATATTAAATATAATTTGGTTTTAAAGCTCAAACAGTTAAGTAAGAAGTATCTCTTAATAATTGTTGAATGTATATAGCATATATTTATGTTTTCGTACCACTGTAACCCTCTCTAGGCCCGCCCCTGCTTAGCTGCCGGCTTGGCTGATATTGAAAAAGTTTTTTTTTTTTCGAGTATCTATTGCTGTGTCTTTTCGTCTCTCGGCCTTCCTGTGGCCCTCCTTGGTCCTCCTTCTCTCTTGGTTGTCTCTTTGCCAGTCTTTCCCAGTCTTCACAGTCTCCGAAGTCTCCTCTGTCTACTCAATCTCCCCAATTTTCTCAGTCTCCGAAGTCTCCTCACTTTTCTCAGTCTCTCGCAGTCTTTCTCAGTGTGTCTGGCTGTCTGTTGGCTGTCTGTTTGTTTGCGCGCTTTGTCTCCTGTCTTGTGCAATATGCGTTGTGTCTCCCCCTTCTCTTTTGCCACTTTTTCCGCCTACTTTTACCGCCCACTCTTTCCACCCACTCTGCCCGGCCAGTTTTTCCGGAGACTCCAAAACTCCCACACAGAACAAATGCTTCCAAAATTCGTAGTTAATTTTAAATCTATTTTAATTCCCCAAAACTTTTCCGCTAATTGAGGTTTTTAAATAAATTAATAGTGTAACAATTACTTTTATAAATAATAAATATTATAATAATAAATACCAAACTGGCCTGAAAATTACACAAATAAAATC